CCTTCATTGGTATACAATCCCCCCGCACCCTCCCTCCATCACTCCAAGTATACTCCACTCTGCAACCCTCATTCCGAACTCTTATGATAATCATAATGCCCTAAAATATATTACTTTTAAACTGTTCTCTCCCTCATTGGCTTCAATGCAGTATACATAACTTATCCAGTTTTCCTCAGTCTTACCCCCACCAAAAAAGAAAAAAAAAAAAAAAAGAACAAATTTTAAAAAAAAAATCATGGCTGTGATTATACATCTTGGACTCTTATAAGAAGCAAAGGAAAATAGTCTTAGTGTATGCAGTATTTATTTGATGATTAAGAATTTGTCTTGCTACAGTTTCTATCATGAAAACCATCAAATGTAAAAGAAAACAGTCATAAAGCAATAAATACTGTATTCGGATTCTTGGTAGCATTATGCTTAACATCTTAGTCTGCTAACTGAAAAGTCAGCAGTTTGAATTCACCATAGACTCTGAGGAATACCTCCTATAATGCTTGGTAGCCTTCCAAGCATGATGGTAGCTGTACTGGAATCAGCCTGATGACAGTGGGTAGAGAGGGTCTAGTCAGGAAACAGGAACTACAAGTAACTTGAGCAGAGAGTCTGATTGGCAGAAATGGTTAATACACTTTCCTCCTAACCGAAAGGTTGAAGGTTCAGGTTCATCCAAAGGTGCCTCTGAAGAAAGACTTGAACTGCTCCAAACCACCGTTCCCCCACAATCTCCTCCCTCACCTCTGTTTTGACATGCCTGAGGTCACCACGAAGCACTGTTGATTAAATGGCAACTAGCTTACTCGTTAGGATGAGCCCAGTACTGTAAATTCTGGTCAGAACTCCGATGGAGTAATCCGTAGGGAACTGTTCTGCTAACCAACCCAAAGGTAGCGATTCTCTGGTGGTTCTGACCCACCAGATGCAACATGAAGAAAGATGGGCAAACTATGTGATTAGAGCCCCTGAAAACCCGCTGAAGGGTCAGCCAAAAGTTGGTTCAGACTCCGTGGCAATGAGTTTGAGTGAGCTGAGAATTGACTTTGGCTCATGCTTGATTCATTAGCTTCGTTATTTCTGGAGGTTCAAATGTAATTTTTGAAACCAAGGAAGAGGTAAGGGTTGATTCTGTGTCCTCTTTGAGTTGGAACTTACCCATAACTGACCCTTCAGAAGAAATTCAGAGGCAGTCAATCGCATGGGAGGAGATTGCCCATCCTTCTCCTGTTGAGCTGCAGATGGAGTATGTAAGGGTTGTTTAGTATTGTCAGGTCAGAACCGACCCATAGCTGACCCTCCAGCAGGTTTTCAGTCAGTAATCGAACAGGAGATTGCCCATCCTTCTCCCACAGAGCAGCTTGTGGATTCAAACTGTGTGCCTTTGTGATTGCAGCACAGCTTCTTAACAGCTGGTGGGTTGTGTAAGGGTTGGTGTTGTGTGTGCGATCAAGTCAGCTGCAAGTAATAGCAACCTTATGCACAACAGCTCTGAACCCTGACCTATCCTGAGCCAATCTCACTGGCTCTGACACAGCTACCCCATTACCATTTCAAGCCGTCTCGTCCAGGGTCGTCTTCCCTTGCTGACCCTCAAGCCTTCCAGTCTTCCACCCTTCCAGTCCTCTAAGGACTGGTCCCTTCTGGCCACATGCCCAGAGTATGTGAGACAGAGCTTCAAAATCTTTTCCTCCAAGTAGCAGCTTGGTTTCACCTTCTCCAGGACAGACCTGTTTGTTCTCTTGGCAGTCCGTGGTATGTTCAATACACTTCTCCAGCACCACAACTCAAAGGCATCAGTCCTTATTCATTGTCTAGCTCTTAGGTGCATAGAAAGCAATTGTGAAGAGCATGGCCTGGATCAGGTGCACCTTAGTCTCTAGACTGGCATTCTTGCTCTTTAGCACTCTTGATTTCCTGACTGTTAATGCCAAGAGTGGTGACGGTGGAATTGAGCAACTGAAATTGTTAACAATCTCTTCATATATCATGGTGCTATATCATTCGGCCCAGTGGTGATAATCTAATTGATGCTGAACTTCAGTCCATACTGAAGACTGCAGTCCTCTACAGCAAGCACATCAGATTCTCCTCAGTTTCAGCAAACAAGGTTGTGTCATCTGCATGACTAGGTTGTTGATGAGTCTTACTTCAGTCCTGATGCCACATTCCTCCTCATAAAAATCACTCTCCAAAGTGATGTGTTTCACATAAAAATTGAAACAGTCTGGAGACAGGATGCATCTCAGATAATGATTGTACACCAGCCCCCATATGGATTTTGTGCCCATCTCTGACAATCTATGCTGCCACCACCCTGCCCCTCCCCACACCTGCCCTGAGTGCCAACATCACTGGGGAGTAGAGATAAGGAGCAGACTTTAGTGGCCAAAGGCCTGAACCATCATATCAAGGTTAGTTGAGGGGAGGGAGGAGAGAGGTGCTGGCAGGGTTGGGGTAGATGCTGGGGGGAGAAGTGGGGCGGGACCACAATGCATGTGCTGAAGGGGTGGCATCAACACCAAATCTGTTAGCTGTATAATCAAGAAGGGTCATGTCTCTTTTAAGTAAAATGTTTATCAGCTAATGTTTTAAAACTGAGCATTCAAACGAGGAAGAAGAATTGGCCATCCACTTCCAAAGTAACAGTCCTTTGTCAACCCTATGTACCAATGTAAGGGTATAGTGATGTAATCCTGACATGGAGCCTACTGCTGGAATTAGAATGGTTAACATTATAGAGGATGGAGCCTACTGCTGGAATTAGAATGGTTAACATTATAGAGGCCTTGGAATATGGAAACAGCACAAATGTCCAACCACAATGGAATGGATTGAGAAATTATGGTACATTCACACAATGGAATACTACACAGCACGCAAGTTATTATCTAACTTGGGAGGGACTGGAGAACATTATACTAAATGAACTAACTCAGTCCTGTAAGGACAAATATTGTATAAGACCATTATTGTAGAAAAAGTATGATGATCCAAGGGGGAAGGGGCAGCAATAATCATTATGTGCCCTTGAGTCTCCTAGTACCTATAGTACAACAGATCTGAAGCCTGAGTCAGGCTTAACTAATTCTGATACATCTACCCCCTTTGCCCCAGTTAATGTATCAATCTATCTCATCCCGACTTTTCCTCTCCTGTGCTGTCCCTCCACCCTTCTTCGCATGATGTCGTTCTCCAAGGACCAGTCCCTCCTGGCCAGGTGCCCAAAGTATGTGAGACAGAGCTTCAAAATTCTAGTCTCCTTTACTTTGTAGTAGTAGTTTACTAGTTTATTTAGAAAATTCTAATACATTGTTTTGCAGAACTGATTCTTCTAATTTCCCTCATCCCCTCACCTATCACATTTTACAACTCCATGATCAACTCCCTCACCCCCTGCACATTCTCATTCCTCTGTTCCCCACCCCCCCATCCCCATCCTTATATTCATTCTACAATAATGGTTTTATACAATATTTATCCTTGCGGGACTGAGTTCACTCAGCATAATGCTCTCCAGCCTCTCCTAAGTTAGTAATAATTGATAAAATCATTGCTTCTGCATGCTGTGTAGTATTCCATTATGTGAATGTATCATCATTTCTCAATGCATTTGTTTGTGCTTTGACATCCGGGCAGTTTCCAAGTTCTTGCGATGGCGAATAATGCTGCTATGAACATTGGCGTACAAGTCTCGGTTGCCTCGGTTCTCATCTTCTCATGGTATATTCCAAGTAGTGGAATAGCTGGGTCATAGGGGAATTTCCATGTTCAGCTTTTTGAGGAAGCGCCAAACTGCCTTCCAGAATGGTTGTACCATTTTTCAATCCCACCAACGATGCATGGGTCCCTTTCTTGCCATTATGTTTTCAAATTTTTTTGTAAATGAACTAGAATAATAATTAAAGAAAAATAATACTTGAAAAACATTTTACCCTCTAAGGAAAAACTTGGTTTCACCCTCTCCAAGACAGACATTTTGTTTTCTTGGCAGGCCATGGTATGTTCAAGACTCTTCTTCAGCACCACAACTCAAAGGCAGCAATTCTGTCATCCTTAATCAGTGTCCAGCTCTCTGATGCATAGCAAGTAATTGTGAAGACCATAGCCTGGATCAGGCACACCTTGCTTCTCAGTACTCTGGAGAAGTCCCTAACAGCAGACTTTCCCAATGCAATTTGTCTCTTGATTTCTGACTGCTGGTGTTAAGAGTGTTGTGTAGCTGAGCAAGCTGTAATTGTTAACAACCTCAATCTCTCTCTTCTCCATTTATCATGATGCTGCCAGTTGTCACAGTGTGAGAATCTTTGTCTTGATGTTGAGCTTCAATCTACATTGAAGACTACAGTCCTTGACTTTCTGCAGCAAATGCTTCAGGTCGTTCTCAGTTTCAGCAAGCAATGAAAGTTGTGTCATCTGCATGCCTAGGTGGTTGATGAGTCTTCAATCCTCAGGCCACATTCCTCCTCTTAAAGCCCAGCTTCCTAAATGATCTGTTCTGCTTATAGATGGAAAAGGTTTGGAGACAGGATGCATCCTTGAAGCATTCCTTCCCTGATTTTGAACCATGCACTGTTTCCTTGCTCTCTTCTGACGGTTGTCTCCCGGTCCAAGTATAGCCAAGTATAGGTTTCACATAAGTGTTAATCATAGGATCGCATGATTTGATGAGTGGGTGAAGGAAATGGGAAAGATCCAGTGTGAAAAACAATGTAGAGGAACTTTGTAAATAAACCAGTATAAAAA